GGCTCCCCATCAAAATTGAGGCCATTTAATTCAACATCTCTATCTCTGCTTCATTCCACCTCCCCTACCAATATACGAAAATGCATCAATTAAGTAAAGAAAACCCAATTCATAACTCTGTACACAAAACCCTAAATCACACACTGTACATTTATTAGTGAGCAGCCTTTGCATAATAGCCACCACTCCTCCTTTTCATTATGCTACATTAGATGTGCTTAATTACTTACAACTCTTTTGTTTGTTTTATGATGTTGGATGTAATTGTCTTTTGGATTTATAACCACAGCTTGAATAGAGACTTGGTGGGATCCATAAGAGCAGATGTACATATTGATTAGGTGGGAAATATGAATCATAGACTTGGTGAATTTGAGGTCATGCAAGCATAGTGCATTACATTTCTCTTTTTGTAATACTATTTAGGGTTAGGGTGAGAGGGTGGTGGAGTGATAGGGTTCCTTATTACCTTGAGGTTCATGACTCCCATTCTAAAGAGGACTTCATGATGGTGGACATGCATCCCAAAGCTTCTCATGTTGAATGCTTGAGTGTAGATGCACTGACATGAAAGGTTGTGTTTAGTCTCACCCACCACCATCCCATATCCTTTCAAACTTTCATACTTTCTCAATCTCCTCATACTCTTATAACTTTTTAAGACCTAATTTTTTAAAAAATGCTAAAGATTTTTTTTATTATTTTTTTATTATTTTTTAAATAACCCATATATGATGGCCAAGAGTGATCACATAGCATTGGGTAGTGTACCACACCATTTTTTAATCAATGTTTAAAACTAGATATGTTCCTTTAACTTTTACAGCTCACCAATTCAGGTGAGTTGTTCCTGAATATGCAAGGTGGGTTTCTCAAGAATCCACACTAATTAAGATATCATGTCATGATGATGAATATTCAAAAAATTGATTAGTATATGTTGATATCAAAAAAACATGAATAATTTCTTAGCCTTTTTTTTTGAATGTGTCAACATGTATGAATGTGTACATACATTTTCAATATGTTGTGTGTAACTTATTTAATTAAATAAATATGATAAAATATGCAGACTGTATTGCATATAAAGATAATATTGTGCTAGTATCAAAAAATGAAACACTCTAAGCAGTTATTACGATGTCAAAATGTAATTGGAAACCTAAAACAAGAAGATCTGATCAAGATAAGAAAAAAGGAAAAAAGGAAAAAAAAAGAAAAAAAGAAAAAAAGAAAAAAAAGTCCTTATATATGTAAGCATTGGGATCCAATACATTCATATTTTGCCAATCTATCCAATATATGTATTCAAAGTATATATATAAGCATATAAATAACAATTAAGTTTTAACCTTACAGTGTTTAAAAATGTATTAATTTTAATTCTTTGCATATATATATATATATATATATAGGTATATAATTTTCAACAAATTTTTCAGGATTCCAATAATACTTACATGGTGGACCAAAATAACTTTTTCATTTTATCATAAACTCTTAGATGAAAATATCAAAACGTTGTGTGTGCTGTGTTGGGGTGAAATCTATTGCCTAATTTAATCATTTGATACCAACTGTTTAGTATAAAACAATCAACTTGAAATGTGCATTCAATACAAGGAAGCATCCTCAAATATGTAACATCCTCAAATGTGTCACAGTTTTATCTAGTTATTTTGGTTGCAATAATATTTTAAAATGATGAAACCAAACTATGCATCAGTACTATGCATAGAGGTTTGAACATCATGTGTGAATAATTGTTTATTTATTCATGTACATATATTTTGAACGAAGGTACATCATGAACGAATTTTCAATTTTAATACTAACATGCATTTTCCAATAATAAAACCTATTCTAAAAATATATTGGATGATTAAATTTTACCAGGAGGTTTATAAGACTACTTCAAACTTAGTAAATTTTTTGGGGTCGCCTACAGGCTCAATATCTGTACCTGCTAAAAGAAGGGAAAAGGTTATCCAGTGATAAATGAAAAATAGAAACATTCATCTATCCAATTTCCAACATGAAATGGAGACGCTTTAAATGCATCTGTTGAAACATGATCCAATGAGGATAGATACATATACAAACCAGAAAAATAGTTGAATAGGATATATATGTATATATATATATATATATATATATAAAATTCAGAGATGTGCCACTCTCTTGCATGCTGTGACGCTAAATGTAAAGTATTCACCTCCTGTTGTATTAATATGTTCACAGATGAATTTCAATGAAGTGTAGGTACTATTAATTTGAACAAATGTTGGAATTTATTAATAACATAATATTTAGTTATTGAAGTTCATATAAATACCTTTGAGTGTACATACAAACACACACTCAATCAGAGATAAAAACTACATCAGAGTAAATGAATTTTGAGTTGCACGTTTGTGCAAGTTGTATCATAAATTTTGACAAAAATATTATATATTTTTTACAACCACACAAATTAATAAATAATGGGATGACCTGATAGACATGCTGTGAAATTCCCAATACAAGTGCACTTTCAAAACATGCTGATAAAGTTCCACCACTAATTGCCACAAAAAGGTGTGTTTTAAAGTTCTCAGTTTCACTTTTGGATTGGTGTGAGCGGGCTGGTGTGCTTTTATTGTTATTCTTATTTCAAACATGCATGTTTTGCTATCTGACCGGCCGGCAATTTTAACTCCATGTCCTGGTTTCTGGGCAGCAGGAAAGTTTTCACTCCGGGCAATAGGGCTCCTCCTGTCCGCCTTGGAAATGGAGCCCCAGCTTCCATTCTGGCCATACAACCCATATCTCCTGAGTGTGTTGGGGCCTCTTTGTGGCCTCAGAGGATTCATGAACCCAAATCCAATGTATTTGTTCATTTATTTATTTCTTCATCATTTTGAATCATCATTGCCAATGCTGATTGGATTTCAAATTTCTATACACAACATGAACAGTGATTTCAAAATATGTATACATTTAGAAACATATATACAAACATACTGTATTTTAATGTTTAAACAACAAATTTAAAGACACCTGGAACATGTTCACATCAACTATACCTCTAAGAATCTATCCTTTTCAGTTTTAAAATATAAGAATAAACCAAGCAAAATATCTATACTTTTAAGAAAAAATCAAATGTTTGGTGTGTGTCAGTAATGTGGCCTCTAACATTAAATTGTTTGTCTTCCAAGTTTATTGGAATTAAAATAAATAGTAATATTAATAACAACAACAGTTGTGGAGTGTTGAAAGTTATATGGTGACAATTATAAATAATGTGTTCACACACCATAATCCGACCTAATATATTTAGATAAAAATAACAATAGCTGTATTATGAAAACATAATAAAACCATGAATCCTCATCCTCATTCCCATTCTTTCAATATAATGAAAACCACATCCAAGTATCACAGTGTGTATGTGTGTTTTTATGTATATGTACGATATTACGTTTTTTTGAATAATTTTAAGATTGAACTTTCCTCAAGTTTTTATTATGACCTTCCTAGTGTCTAGATAAACCACCTAGTAATAATAACAACAATAATAACTAATATTATTTCGAAGTATCTTACAAGACGGTATTAGTTTAAAATTATCTTAAATCTACCAAAAGACTTCATTAGTAAGAGAGAATGGCTAAATAATTTATGACCGTGATCCACAGGGAAGTGCACGGAAAGGGGGCATCGCACATCATGTGGAAATCGGAGCAGGATGTATTGTGCAATCTCCAGAAGATCTTCTTCTTCGAACACTACATCCATCACATGTATTTCATTCATCCTCATCCCCCTCAGGGAGGGAGGAGGGAAAGGGTAGCGCCACATTACGTGGTAACTTTTAGCAACGCCCACCCTCTGAGGATCCAAACTGATGATTATGTGCGTGAGGCCACGTCACCCGCAAAAACAAAAAAGGTTCAAGTCAAAAAAGTTTTCGCTTGCGTTTTGAAAAAAAGTAGTTGTGGAACTGAAGAAAGAGTGAACCTGGAGAGGGAGGAAGGAAGGGGGGGGGGGGAGCAGGCTGGACAAGCAAGCCCTAGAGCTGTGGGGCACAGAGCGCTGAGTCATCAGCGCTGACTCATAAACGGCAACCCAGTTCCATCCAATCCAACCCTCCTCTGTGCTACTCAGTGGTGCACCGGACCTGCCCTGCCAAGCCTTTCCGCCGAGAGCAGTAGCAGCAGCAGCAGCAGCGAGGGCTTTGGTTTGCTTCGGGAATCGCCTCGGCTCATGCGGAGGGATTCAGTGCTATGTGGCCCCGTCTCCTTCTGGAGACTCCATCCAGCATCATCAGGCTCTAGTATCTTCTTCTTCTTCTTCTTCTGCCGGTATGAATGCAGCAGCCCCACGAGCTAAAGGCAAAAAAGCAAAATGCAAAAAGCAAAAGAATACGAGCCCGCCTCCCCCTACACCTTCTAGAGAGCTTTTACGTGCATTTGCTTCGAGGTTTAAAATAGCAGACTGTGGTAGGGAATTTATTATTATTATTGTTAGTTGCCATAGTGGCATTGTCTAGTCTTCGAAGTGGGATTTTACCCTCCCCTCCCCACCAGTGTACAATTCGGTCCTTGTGGTGTCATCTTATTCGGAATTTATAATTACTATCACGGTGATATCCGTGCTCCAGGTGATTTTCCCGCGCAACCAGAGCCCTTATGGAAAAAAGCCTCGGACACAAGTGATGGCGGTAAATACGAGAAGTGAATGGGGGGACGGAGTTCTTACCTACCTACCAACCTATCTTTCTACCTACCTACCTACTCGAGGTGTGGCACTGAAACCCCCCTCGGTACGACCACTCGGTGGATGAGCTGCACGAACCTACCAAGTGAGGTAGGACAGGGCGGTAGGAAGGAAAAGAGGGGGGTAGATGCGATGGTGCTTGTCTGGCATTTGCCTCCAGCGCATCCTCGTTTTTGTTTTCTTCTTCTCCTTCTTTTTCCTATTATTATTATGATTATGATTATTTCTATTATACATAAATTGTTATTTGTTTATTTTTTCCTTTGAGTGTGTGTCTTTTGTAAATTCTCTAGTTAGTGTTGTTATTATTTCTGTGGGTGGTTGTACACGATGTGGGGTTGCTCCCAATCTCATTCATAGGCAGGCAGGCGAGAGGATTGACATCCACCACCAGAGATTTACTTGCGCGCGGGGGGCTAAACTTAGTGCCAACCACGTCCATCAGCGTCTCGTCGTTTGCCATTTCGGGGCATGTAGCTGCCGCAACTGTGCGTGCTGCCTGCGAGGGTGTTCACGGCGACGAAATGAAAGTGATTTGCGCAGCTAATCGGTATTCAAATCGGAGTTGAAACAGTGTCCTCGGGGGTTCCGGAAGAGGGTCGATCGAGGGCAGGGGGAGGGGCCGGTCAATTTGTGGTTAGCGACAGCTGCGTTACGTTGGCATTGGGTTAGCGACGATTTAGTGATAATCGTTGGGCTTTTTTGTGGTTTCTTGTTGGCGTTGTAGTGTCATTGGGACTGTAGTTTCGTGGTTTTCATATTTCCTCAGTGTGTCCTGGGACCCTTCTTGCCCGACACTGTCCACTTTTTTTCCACTGGTGGAAGAGGTGGAGTGCCTGGGTTTGCGGTCAGTTGAGTGGAGGTTGATGTGGGTGCGGATTGTCTAGAGGGCTGACACGCGGTTTGATTTGTGGTGATAGAGGAGGAGTTTGTGGAGTGTTCGAGGGTTTGGTCGTGGTTAGTGGCGCACGGTTGATTGACGTGATCTCTTTAGTGCCTTGAGGGCCGCACGTGTTTGCGGAGAAGTTGGGGATTACTGGCTTCGGATGTGAATTTTGGGTAAAGTCGTCGCGGTTTTCTGAAGTGATGGAGTGGATTTCCGCCTTAATATGTTAGTCTCGCCAGATACCCCAGGGAAACAAGTTTGTGATAGGGTGCGAGATCTCAGTGGAGTTTGATTCAGTTTGGGTCGGTGAAATTGGAGGCGCAAGTATCGTCGGATCAGGAATCGACACTTGCGAATTACTCATCGCCTTTGGGTTCAGTAGTGGTCAGCTTCAATCGAGAGTTTTGAAGCTTGATTCTGGGATTTTGGTGTAGGGTGTGGTTGGGCTTGTATCAAAGTGTCACGAGAGGGGTGATTGAGACGATACTATACTGAGGCACAATTGGATGATGCCATATCCACCGATGCAAGGGGGGCAACCACAACATGGTCAGCTGATATGCAGCGGGTGCCGCACCCTCCTCGTGTATCCCCAAGGGGCCAGCAACGTCCGCTGCGCGCTCTGCAGCTCCGTAACGCAAGTGCCGCCCCACGGCACTGAGATGGCGCAGCTGGTTTGCGGTGGATGCCGGACTCTGTTGATGTACATGCGTGGCGCCACCAGCGTGCAGTGCTCGTGCTGCCACACCGTGAACCTGGCGATGGAAGCCCCCCAGGTGGCGCACATCAATTGTGGAGGGTGCGGTATGACGCTGATGTACGCGTACGGTGCCCAGAGTGTGAAATGTGCGTTGTGCCAGTTTGTGACATCCATTACGATGCTCAACGTGCGAGTGCCGCTGCCATCGCAACAGCCTAGACCTCCGCAGGCCGCCGGGGGCCCTGCTCCTGCACCCACCTCATCGCACACGCAAACAGTGGTGGTGGAGAACCCCATGACGATGGACGAGAGCGGGAAGCTGGTGAGCAATATGGCTGTGGGTGTGTCCACTGATCGGAGGTAACAATGCTAGCCGGCGATTGTTTGATCTCATGTTTGCAGTGGTGATTGGCTTGTGATCGGAACCAGGTACAAAGTGTAGGGTAAGGCAAGCTAGCAGCACAGGGTGGTGGTGATCGGTGACGAACCTGAAGGAAGGTGTTCGGAGCGGTGGCTTGAATCGCTTTGAATGAGGGCGGAGGAATCCTAGAAACGGGAAGGACACTGAACGCAACGGCGAATTTGAGATGTTGGTAGACGCAGGTAGATGTTGGTATAGGATGACTACCGGCATCTAGATACTCTTCGCAAGGATGAAGCAGTGACACACCGAGCAGCGTCATTTTACTGCCTAGAAATACTCGAAATTGTAAGCTGAGCGGGCTTGTACCAGGGTGCTGGTGTATGCAAAGCGGTGGGTTTAGAATGTAGGTGTGTAGGAGGTTCAATTTGTGCATTTGAATCAGTGAAGTTTCACGTTAATTGCCCCCAACTGCAGTCTGCGACACTCACACCTTCTCGTCCCCCAACCTAGACTTCCTTGTGTCTCTGGGTCGATATGGTTCTCCTCTTAATATTGCTGTTGCATTTGGTGGTGGTTTTCTGGAATCAAGCACATGGTTTTAGGCATCTTTAACGCAATATTAGGCATGATACCGATGTGTTGTTGACTTATTCGATTTTGTAACATGCGTTGTTTTCAAGAGGAATGAGATTTGATCTTGCTGTTGAGGTGACCCGCCTAAAACGGAGTGTGCGAGGCATATCCCTGTAGACCTGAGGACACTTCTGTTTTGTATTTTTTGTGACGATACTTGCGTCCGATATTTTCTGGTGTCTGTAGCATTGATGTTAGGTTTGATTTACTTAATCTATGACAAGTTGAGATTGGAGTTCTTAGTTCTAAAACAGCTGTTATTTGCAGACATTTTCGTGATGACAATACGGTTACTTCCCATGGAGAATACGTTACTTTCTAGTGATTTATTTTTAATTTTGGCGGGATCACTTATGTGAAACTCATGCCATACTAAGTTCTTGCAAATAAAAGATCAAATAGAAATCCAAATTTCAAGACTGTAGTTTAAAGTTTATTATTATTTTTTATTTTTCTATTTTATTTTTAAATAGTGATTATCACTTGTGAGTATAGATGCATGCAAAAGGCAACTGTATGAAAAATGTGTCATTTCTTACATTTTGTTATTTTATGTTCCAATCTTAACATAGACTTGCATTTTAGTTCTAAATTTTATTTTTATTGTATAATCATATTCATTATGCTGGCAATTGTATAGCATTTATATTGTTGGTTTTAAAGGTTATATGATTATATTATTACAAGTATTATATAACCTTTAAAACCAACAAGTGTGATCATATTATTACAAGTATTGTTATTTTTTGACACATAAATGAGTTAATAGATTATTAAAAATGTTATAGACTACTTAATTATTTATATTCAAAGACAAAGTTAAGAATATGTGACAACTTTTAAGTTCAGTTCAATTCTACTTTTGTATATGATCACACAATATTAAGGTATTATAGATTTCTATTTAATTGCTTTGTTAATTCAAGAACCTAATATATGTTTAGCTATTTAAGAATTATTCTACTTCTTGAGTAGGTAAGAATCTTGTTGCAAATATTTTTCTAAATACTTTTTGACAATTTTCCAATAAATTTGTCCATATTTGATTAAGTCCTTCCAAACTATGTTTTTAGTAAAGAGTGCAATCCATACTTCATTTCAAAGTTAAATCTGTTTGTCCAAATCCATAAACAAAATAGTCCATAAACAAAGTCTTCTTAATAAGGACTATGTCTTGCAAATAGACTTTAATCTAAGGAAAAAAGTTTTGTAAAAATACCTTGCTACCAAGTGAAAGATTCCTAAGAGCATCAATTCTAGGAATTGAATGTTAATTTATAAAGAAGAGAAGTAGCCCAATCCCAAATATAATGGACTTGATGATACTTCCAAAATTCATGGAGAATAGATTCAAGCATTTAGAATTGACATACAGCACATTAAATAACAATAGTAGGATTGATTTTACTCCTTTAATTATTAACTACTACACTGAGCCAAATAAGCCATATATGCCAAATAAACATAACATCTTTACAAGAACAAGGATTGTACTAAATGTCTTTTCAATTAAATACAAAGTCTTGACTAAGAAGAATACTTGATTTTTGTACCACAAAATTAATAGAAGAACTATCGATTTGAAGTACCTTTTTTGCCAAGTTTGGCAAAGTATGTCATAAGTTCTTTTACCAATTACCTAAGAATATAATAGATCTTATACATATATATCTTGTACATATGTATCTTCATTTTTATTTTTATTTTTAGATCTTAGAACCAATTTTCTATTAATATTTTGTAATAAGTGATTAAACCAAATCTAATTTCCAATTTCCATAAGCCATGAATTTAATATTGATTATTTGAAATCTAAGAAGCTATTGAATATTTTCTTAGCTAAGTTGAAGAGTTAGTAACATCAATATGGATAAGAGAGCTTTGGTGGCATCTTTTGGCTCAATGATGCCTAAATCTCTTTCTTTACAAGTTTTATAACAAACATCCTAAGCTACTTTGGAGTGAATAAAGAAAGTAGTATTTTTCTATAAAATATTTATAATGATTTATTTGATTTTTTGAATAGCCTTCAAAAAGCCAAATTATATGCATAAAAATATCAGATATATAGTACATTTTTATTTGCAATGATGGCTTAATCAACCACATTGATTTTAATAAAATATTAATAATTTAATTCTTATATTATTTTATAGATAATTTTTTTATCAACATCATGTATCTTTAATAAGATATCAAAGAAAGTTCTAAAATATTTATTAATACTAATATTAGAAGTCTATGCCAAATCAAATTGATTTAATCATGCTAGTTTGTCAAATTTTTTAAATTGCCAATATGCATAAAATTTGGACCAATTTATTTCAAGTTCTATAGCCAAATATGATTGTTTGATAACATTCACTAAAACAATGAATATTTTCTTCCTCTTCATAAATACTGATTGTTAAGTCATCAACATATTAGTTAATAACTTGTTTATTTGGGCTCTAGAGAATGAAAATTCCTTGTAGATGGAGTTGTATAATCTCAATAACTATTGATTAAACCATTGATTTTACTTAAAACTTTATACACATTGCACTTTGATTGTTAAAATAAGCAAAACAAAATTTAAAGAGATATTCAACTTACTCATTGGGAGAAAAAGATATTCTAGCAGCAATAACTTCTTATTGAATTGTTCACTTACAATCAAATTTGGCAAAATTATTAAAAATGAGCTCAAAACTCCTTCACAAAAATTTACTTCAATTCAATTGAAAAATCACTTAAAGATCAATGAAATCTTTAGTAATCCTTGAAATTCAAATTCAAAGAATCTAACCAATTTAGATTTCAATAACCTTTGATTTAATTGTTTAATTGAGTTTATATTTATAAAAAATATTTAAGACAAGTAGACTTGAAAATCTACAAATTTTCATTTGTCAATATGCTAAAGTGCTCACAAAAGTCTCAAACATATATACTTTGTTTAATTTCTCAAAAATCCAAACCACTTAAAATACCTCTTACTTTGAAAAGCTCTCAAAAATCCAAAAAAATATAAATCATTCAAAATTAATGTTTCATCAAATCCTAAAAAGTCTCTTCTTTAAACTTTATTTCCAATTAATAAAGAATCTTGGAATTGCCGTATATACAAAAATTTGTGTTTCAAAGTGAAATTTCAATCCATGTTCATAACCGGCCATCTTCAAGTATCAATATCTAATTTTTTAGGTAATTTTTGCTAGAATCTACTATTTACTTTTATCTAAAGATGCTAATATTTTAGCTTCTTATTTAGTTAAAAATTATAAGTTCATACTCCACAACCAAGTGCCTAATATATTTTTTAAACAAGACAATATATAAGATGACATTGTGATTTAAAATTTTGTCAAAAATATAAGCAAAGTTTTAAGATAATAAATATTTTTCTAATAATTTTTTAAGTGCAATCTATGTTTGTATGCTAAAAAAATAAATATATAAATATTACATACTATTACTTATTTGAGATTGACTTTCTTGCATTTGAATCTAGATTCTTCTATTCTTTGCTCTATAAAATATTCAATTATAATAGTTTTTGTAATTTATTGACTTTATTGGTCTTATTAGCTTCATCCATTGTGACTTTACACGGCCTTGTGCAAATAAAGAACCCTCCATAACTCATAAAAAAGTTGTTAGGTAGTAACTCTTTTAGAAAATATTTGATTGCATGAAGACAATCTTAGAGTTTGAAAATATTATATGTTGCAATCACTGTGTTTTCTTCTATCAAATAAACAGGAAGATTCTTTTTTGTACCATAATCTCTAACTCAATTACATGTGTGTTTCACACAAGCTTTGTTTATATTTTCTTTCACACATTTTATATACAATGCAATAGCTACATCTATGATGGTGAAATTCTAAAGAAAAGAAAAGAAAAATATAAAAGATCCTAAATTCTAATGATGCTTATTTATGCCAAGTCTAAATTAGTAGGATGTGTAATATTAAAATTTTAATTTTAAAAAATAATGTTAGAAGATATACTTTAAATTATAAAATTTCAATAAAAAGTAATAATTATTTAAAAACATTTATAATTTATCTATTTATACCTCATTCTCTCTTTTAATACAAAATATAATACTAGTTGTTTAAAGATTTTTTTATATCTTGTATAGAATATAGAAATTTTAATATATATATATATATATATATATATATTGTGAGTCCCACTAATGAATCTTAATTGGTAGAGTTATTAAAAATATAGTTTTAAATTAATTAGATATAAAATTATTAAGTTTAGAGGTTCCATATTATTATTATTATTATTATTTAAGTATTTATTAAAATATAAAAGGTTTTATAAGTTGTAAGAGTCCATTAGAAAAAAAGTCATAATGGTGGAATTTTTTTCAAGTATTTAAGACAATTCTTGTAGCTTGTTTAGTATTTTTTTTAATTGTGAGATTTAATATTTATTTATTAATATCTACGTCTATATTGGTCTTTTATCTACAACTATTACTTGTAAAAAATCTATAAATATTAATTAATACATAGAAGAAGCATCAAAAGGAACCTCACGTCTTTTTAGTTATTTATGTAAAAAAAAAGATTTCTAGTTGATTTAAATTAGTTTTATTATTATTAAATATAAAAATATAAAAATATTTAAATTGATATTAATATTATATAGAAATTATAGAAATTCTAATAATTTATTTAAAATATATCTAAAATACTTTAAAACAAATTAGAATAATTTTTTAAGACTTTAATAATTCAATAATTTTTATCAATTTGAAAAGCTATTATGAAGAAATTGAGCAAGATTTGAAGGTTATATAAGATTCTTAGAATTATTTGATGTTTTTAAATACAATTTTAAATATAAAAATATAAAAAAATAATTTTACTAGTAGAAAATATGAAACATAGCAGCTAATTTAGCACTTATAGGAAAAGAGGTGCATATGTCACAGATGGATTGTGGCACCTTCAATGTAGGCAGGAGGAAA